GTAGGTGGCTGGCGCCTTAGCCGGTTGAGCTATAGGCGCCGAGCCGAATATAAATGTCTTAACACAATAACTAAGAAAATGCCATGAAGGCTATGCTAACCAGTTTAATGAAAATATTTCAAATTGTATATAAAACCAGCACATTGTACCCCATGATTCCATTAATCTACATAGCTATGATTTAATTTAAAAAAAAAAACTTCTAAGAAAACAAAAAGAGATCATCAGGTGGTAGCAAATTGACAGCACACCACACATGTTCACCACTCCAAACCAAGTTCTCCATATCTAATAGCTCTTTCCTCCTACAGACATTGGACAGAACCTTTTCAAATGCCAGGATCCCTTCCTTCTGGGTGGACTCCTTGAATGCCCACTAACCCTTCCCTGCCCTCCTGTCCCAGCCTTCTCCTCTCATCCCAGAGAATCATCAGAAATGACATACTTAGGATTGCTCCCCCACACCCCTCAAAAAGAAACAGAAAAGAAAACCAAAAAAACCAACCAATCAAATAGGAAGGACTGCTCCTCTTTAATTTGACTTCCAGGCTCCTGACCATAATCTAGCACTTTGGGAGGTGGAGACAGGAGGATCGCATGAGCACTGGAGTTTGGAAACCAGCTTAAGCAACAGACTTCCATCTCCCAAAGCACAGGGATTACTGGCCCTAGTGCACATCTTTCTTTCAATCACAGCCACATGACAGTGAGAAATCCTGTTGCTGTAGATGAACATTAGAAAGGTTAAGATTACTTTCATGATGCAATATTCATTTGTATTGGGCGATTGATCCTTTGACCTAACATTAGGTTTTAACCAAATAAGCAGTCCAGGAATTAGCAAATCTGTCCTTTATCATTGATGCTATTGCAGATGTTATCAGTATAATTATAAGATGGGAAACATTTTATTTTTTCACGATTAAAATGAAAGTTGTAGATTAATATACAGTGATCATGCGTGGGCTGGAGGGAGATGTGTGACTTTACTCACTGTAAAAATGAAATTTAAAGGAAGGTTTGTGTCAACTGTGGATCATAAATAAATCCTTTATACTGGGGGAAAAAAAGAAAGGTTAAGATTATAAAAATAGAGTTAAATTAATACAATAATGAAATAATTATACAAAATTTTTGTGATCAGGGTCAGATATACAAATATGAATGAGGACGTGAGTCTCCACAAAGAAACAAATTGATAAAAACAGATACACAAACATACCATACTGGGGACTTCATAAGACAACTTTTTTTTTTTTT